TTCTTCTTTTCTCTCGTCTCTTCTGAGACTTTATCGTTTATTCATATAAATACAAAGATGCATGCCTCTTTTTGTGCACGTGCCGTGCACTATTCCATTCGATAGAAAGTAAAAGAAGTAGAGTTAAATCGGCTCTTAACACTCTTCATTTTTGTTTTCAATGAACACAGAGAAGTTTCGTTTCTACATTAAAGTGCGTACTGCACTAAATATTGAAGCAAGAACTATTCACGACAAGCTGCATACAGTTTTTGGTGATGAAGCTCCTTCTTATCGAACAGTTGCTAGATGGACTCAATGGTTTCGTGAAGGTCGAAAAGAAATTGAAGATGAAGAACGATCTGGAAGACCTGTAACTGAGACTATTCTTGACAATATCGAAGAAATTCGTAGTATTGTTAACGATGATCTTCATATGACAATAGCAGAATTACAGGAGCATACTGGTCTAAGCTATGGCACCGTTCATCGAATATTATCAGATCATCTGGAACTTAGAAAAATGATTGCTCGTTTCATACCCAAACAGCTAACGGATTATCAACGAAATGAACGAGTTCGAATATGCAAAGAAAGTCTATCAAGATTTACAGAAGGAGGATGGCGTTTGTGTCTGACGTGATAACAGGTGATGAATCATGGTTTTTCCATCAGCAAACTGGTCGAAAAGTTTCCAATGCTGCTTGGGTGGCAAAAGATGATCCTCCATCAACAATAATACGATGCAATAAATTTGCTCCTAAAACTTTATTTTGCATTCTCTTTAAATGAACTGGTCCTCTTCTAATCCGTCGTGTCGAACGTGAACAGACTATCGATCGCCATTATTACATCGAAAATTGTTTGCAACATGTGATCGAAAAAATTAAGAAACAAAGACCTTCTTCAGGTACTCATGCTATCAAACTTCATCATGATAATGGACGAGCACATATTCATCAAGATGTCCTTGATTATCTTCGTTCAAAGGGAATTACCATAGTACAACATTCACCCAATTCTCCAGATCTATCTCCCTGTGATTTTTGGTTATTCGACCTTATCAAACGAAATCTAGCTGATCAACCTAATTCCGAAACGTTACATCACGCCATAACCGAGTTTATGTATTCTTTGGATAAAGATGAATATAGAAAAACGTTTGAGAAATGGATTCAAAGAATGCAGTTGTGTGTAGATAATCAAGGCGATTACTTTGAATATTTAATCAAATAAAACTTATTGAACTTGCTCATGTATTTTCGATTTTCGAGTATGCCGATATGAATAAACGATAAAGTCTCAGAAGAGACGAGAGAAAAGAAGAA